ACAGCGAGCACACAATATGCTAGCGAACATAATGTCAGGGTGAATGGCTATAAGATAGAGTAGAGAGCCTATCATTCCTCAAAATAGAATTTAATTTACATCAGTGCCACTTAGATCAATGCCAATACACGCTGATGAAGACATCAGAGTCTTTGCCGATTTGCAATCAGAGAGACCATACTTTTCAGTATATCTGCAATGTATTTAGCTTGACAAACAAAAATACCATCAGTTATTTGTTTGACCTGCAAGCCTAAAAAGAAAGTTAGTTCACCCATCATGCTCATCTCAAATTTCTTGGCCATGACCTCTGCGAATTATCAACTTAAATTTACATTAGTGGATCTAAAAATGATACCATCCACATATACTTGAACGAGAATGATATGAGATCCTGATTGCTTTATGAACAAAGTGTTGTCGATTTTTCCTCATTTGTATCCACTTGAGACAAGATAGCTTGCCATCATATCATATGACACCCTAGGTGACTGCTTTAAGCCATATACAACTTTGTCATGATGATACACATGATCTGGAAATTCTTCATCTTCAAACCCAGGAGTTTGTTTAAGAAAAACTTCTTCTTAAAGATCTACATGTAGAAAAGGCATTCTTGACGTCTATTTGGTAGACTTTGGAGTTTTTAAAAGAGGAAAAAGCTATAAACAGACGAGTTACTTCTAGTCTTGCAACTGGAGCAATTGTTTCATCATAGTCTAACCCTTCAAGCTGACAAAAAACCTTGAGCTACAAGCCTGGATTTGCTCCTTATGATGATTCCATATTCATCCATTTTGTTTCTGAAAACCTAGCGAGTGCCAATGACAGTCTTTCCTTGAGGTTTGGGAACAAGAGTCCACAAAACGATGACGTTCAAATTCATTTAGCTCATCTTGCATTTCCTTAATCCAATCAGCATATTTCAATGCATCAACGACATTCTTTGGTTCAATCATTGAGACGAAGTTAATAAACATGCAGAAGTTGTTGCTGACTCTTCTGCGAGTGAGAATCCTAGAATTTACATCTCCAATGATTTGAGATTCAGGATGATCTCGAAGGATTCTTGGGTTAGAACCTTCATTTGTATTGCTTTGGGCAGAGTCTTCCTAATTGGATGGATCAACTTCTTCAGGAATGACATGCTGATCTTCAGAGATAGGTTGTGGAATGATTAATTGATCAACATTAGGAACAATAGGATCAATGTCATTTGACAAGAGCTCAGGAACAAGTTCTGAAGGACTGTAGGTAAGTTCATTCAGGATTGATGAGGGGCGATCAACTCGATTATGAATGAATGAGTCCTTATCAAATGTGACATGAATTGTTTCTTCAACAATTTGCCTTGAAAGACTAAATACCCTGAAAGCCTTGGATACACTGGAGTATCCTAGAAACACTCCCTCATCAGCTTTAGCCTCCAACTTCGAACGCTGATCTCTTTGATTCAACATGTAACAAACATATCCAAACACATGAAAATAAGAAATGTCTGGTTTTCTTCCTTTCAGTAGCTCATAAGCAGTTCTCCCATGACGTTTGACAATAATCGACCGGTTTTGGGTATAACACGATGTATTGAAACCTTCAGCCCAAAAAGACAATGAAAGACCAGCTTCAACAACTATAGTTCTTCCATCTTCAATAAGAGTTCTGTTTCACCTTTCTGCAATACCATTTTGTTGGGGAGTTCTAACTGCCGAAAAGTTCTGAGAGATTCCTAAGACAAAGCAAAAATATTCCAGGGAAGAGTTTCTAAATTCGGTTCCATGATCACTATGCAATTGCTTTACTTTGTGATCATAGAGGACTTCCAATTGCTTAATGAGAGCAATGATTTCATCAGCGACATGATTTTTCTTTCTTAAAAACACTACCCACGTAAACCTTGAAAATTCATCCACAATGACAAGAGTGTATTTCTTTCCAGCTCTTGACTTAATCGGAACTGGTCCAAAAACGTCCATATTAAGAAGGTGAAGAGGTCTGATGATTGAAGAACATGACTTTGGTTTGAACGAAGACTTGGTTTTCTTCCTTTTTTCACACGCTGAGCACAATTTATCCTTGACAAATTGTATCTTAGGAATTCCTCTCACAAGTTGATTCCCTGCAATCCTTGAGATGTTCTTGAAATTTAGATACGATAGCCTTTTGTGCCATAGCCAATTTAGATGAGACTGAGAACGAGATAAAAAGCAACATCGAAGAGATTTGTCAGCAGAAAACATATCTAGAACATAGATGTCATTTTGTTGATTCGCAGTAAGAATAATGATGTTCTTTTGATCAACAACTTTTCCGTCTTTCTTCTAAAAGAGAACTTCATATCCAGTGTCACACATTTGAATGATAGAGATGAGATTACACTGAAGACCTTTCACATAAGAGGCATTCTTAAAAATTACAGAATTGCACTTGATGGTTCCATAACCCTTTGTATTTACCTTTCCATTATTGACATATATAACTAACGGGCCATCCTTCTTTATGAATTCTTCCAGGAGAGATTTGAATCCTATCATATGTCTTGAGCATCCGCTGTTTAAATACCAAATATGCTATTTACCCTGAAACTAAGAGGTACAGTAGGTCGAAAAAAATATACACTATATATACACCGACCCATTTGCAAAGGATCACTAAGAAAAGACGTTATAACAATCACTAGGGAGACAAATCATCGAGTTACCCTTTTTGACCGACTTATCATTTCGAGTCATGATATTATCAGTGTGAACATTGTTCTTTTCAAAAGATCACTCACTGGCTTTGTGAAAGGCATCACCACATCGATACCAAACTTTAATTCCAGGATTTTTTCTTTTAACATTTGATTTTGATTTCTTTTCATCTGCTGAATCTGAAGAACTTTGATTATTTTATTTAAGAGTTATTGATTTAGCTTTGGAACAATGAGTGTTATCAATGGTATGCCTACATACTACCTTGTCATGAGACATATGATCCTTTGAAGAGTTGTCAGGAGTAAAAGGCTTTGAGTGATCATCATGTTCAGAATTGCTAACTGAGCACAGAGGAAACATGCTAAGAATTTTGTTTACAAAATGAACTTCACCATTACATATAGGAAACTTTAGTAAAGTCTTAGTGGAGGGAAGAACATACTCACGATGTGACGGTTGGAGAGAAGGATCAAGAGCAGACAATTTAGTAACACATTTAGTAATCCCATTAGAATCAGTAGAGCAGTAAGTATAGATTAGGGTTTGATTTATAAAGTGAGAACTCACAAATCTACTTTTAAAGTCTTCTTTTAAGCTTCAGCTTCATATAATGTTTGTTTAGTTTCGACTTTGGTTAAAGATACAACACTTTCTATATCACCTCAAAGAATTTTCTACACTGATCTGGAATCTGAGCATTAATGATTCTTGTGACATTAAAGTGAAAGGATGCCTAAAATTTTAAAATAAGTTGAGTGCAATTAGCATAATCAACAACCTTTTCTTTTTCAGTGTGAAGAAAGTTATTGGAAAGCGATATACAAGTGTTTTCCTTTTTGAAAATAGAAAGAGATTTTTCTAGAGAAATAATTTTTTCTTTGAGAATCTTTAACTCAAGATTGCAAGAAGATTTTTATTTATTTGAGATAAATAAATTGAAACGTAAGAGATCGATCATGTCATATTTTTTTATATTATCAATAGAGGAAAGATTAACATGATTTTTTACCTGATACACTGATGCATCGTCCCATTATGACATAAGGTCATCAATAGTGTGAGGAGAATCATCGTTAAGAATCCCAATGCTGTCATGTGAAGTGTCAGCGTCAGATTCAATAGTCTTGGCCATGAGACACTTAACTTCATCATTTGAAGAGTTTTCCTTTTCAAAAGCAGATGATAGAGTGATCATCATCTCTTGATCAGTTGAGCAGTTTTGGACAAAATGATAGACATAAAAAGGAAGTGAGTTCCTAATAGCGATTCTAGCTTTTACATCAATATTCAACATCCTTTTCTCCTCCTTGGTATGACAGGGAACAGACTTTCCTTTCAGCTTACTGGCAGATGCACCATTATTTGATGGTTGATGTACAATAGCTATAGGACCTTTGTTGACGACGTCGAGCATATTGAAATCCATGAACTCTAGAACTTTCATGGCCTTTGATTTACAATCAAAGAAGTTGTATTGGTCATACAGATGAATTTTGTTACAAACAGATGACTTAGGAACTAAGGAAGACGACATGATTACTTGAGTGTATCACAAACTCGCTTTCATACCTATTGAAGGTTTATATTTGATCGGATACACTTCAAGTGTGAATAAGAAACGTAAAAGTATTCTAACCAAAATAATCAACAGAAAGTAAATAACACAAGAGTTCTCCAAATTGTTCCTTTCACCAAGAAACGAGGTTTTGTCTTCACCAAGAAGAGAGGTTTGTCATAAAGACGATTGACACAAAGCCATGTTTCACTAACTCACAACCTTAGGGTTTTCCCTAATGTTGTATATATACTAATCTATACATGTAAATCCCATGATTAAACGAATTGCCTCTAATCTATACTAATGATAATATCCTTATCACAAAGATTACGGATCTGATATGTATTGTATATTTATCTATAATAACTACCTCATATATAAAAGATTACAATCGGATAAATATACTAAGTGCTGACAATGTTGAACTTGAGACGCTGACGCTATTGACTTGTATAAGTTGATGCTGATAGATCAGCGTGTCATGTGTTTGACTCATCAGAACATAAGGTGTGACCTTACACTGACCGTTTATCTGATAACTTTATCAAATGGACCGATCATGAAGAAATAATGTTAGGCATGGCGAGGATAAGCTCTTACTGGAATAATTAATGAAGAAGCTTGTGGAAACCCTAGTGGGTCAAGAAGTCACTATACTAGAGTGATTGCATTGAAAGCATCTGGAGAGTTCTACTTTGGTTACTAAGGATGTTACTATTCCTAATTCTCATTATCGGTCAGAGTCTAGCATGGATTCTACTACCAATACTTCTGGTCAGGATACTACTATTCCTGTAATGCATTCCCCCTACAAGAAGATTGTGAATATGGAGCATGACAGTAGGAAGCCCCCGTATTCTTCACCCATGGCGGCGTTAAGGGCTTAATCTTCCAAGAGGAAAACTCAGATGAAAAAGTCCTTTCCTTGGAAGGATTAATGAATCGTACTATGAAGGTAATCGATCTATCCTCCCCCAAATAAAAAATAACCAATTGTTGTGTTGATGAAAAAACCCATAGCCTATTGCTATCTGGTAGTCAACCTTCCTCTGAGTCTGTCGATCCTGAGCCTTCTTTGGAACCGCCTGGAACAGTTACTCTTCATGAGTATCCGGTAATTGCTGATCCTGTATTTAAAAATGTTAAGGAGAGTCTTCCTTCATATAATGATGAAGCCCTAGGTTCTGAGGTTCTTCTCCATCCTACTTTGGAAGTCCTAACAGTTCTTGAGTCTATCGATCCATCGTCAAAAGACCAGACTCCTTCCACTTGGCATCTGCTTCTGTCTTCTAGCGAAAACTTTTTGGTGTTGGGTTTGGACTTTAACATGCATCTAACATTGAGTCTACAACCATTACGGTGGACCCTCTTCCTACTTGTTTGGGTGCTCCTGGCAGCTCGAACCTTACTCATGTGGAAATTTTTGACACCACTCCTTTGTTGGACGATGATTCTCACCCGGAATCGACTATTGATGTCTCTTAAAGTACTTCACAATAAAACGATATGTTGTCCTCCATACAACTCTTTACTTGCCTTTATTATTTATCTTTCTTGATGATGATATGTTATTTTGTTTCTAAGAAAGACACCCTGATCGTGTCTTTGGTCGAGCTCCAGACTTCAGTTCAGCACAATGTGCTTCAACAGCAAGTGGTATGAGAACAGGATGTTTCGGATTTGAAGTGGGACATAAAGGAAGTCATCCATTCTTTTGTCCGAGCCATGTTAAATTCACCTGATTTTTGGGATGTCAACGCCGCCCTCAATATTACAACCATCCAGTTGGGGCTACTTCATGCCTATTTTGATATGAAAGAGAAGTACACCAAAGTGTTGGATGGAATGAAAGCTATCTAATCCTATTCTGATGCCCAACGTCGTATTCTAGATCCCTTCTCTAACATGACTACCTACAAATATTCATTGTTTGGGATTTTGGAGAGGGATAGAGTAGATATCAATGTGTTAAAGGATAAAGTGACAGCTTTGGATTCGCTTTTCAAGCGTGATGATGTGGGTACTAGTGCATGACTTAGCCATGTTTTGTGTTTTCATGAAGTTGTTGACTGGTTGTAATTTTAAACCGTAATGTTATTAGACAATATTTTGCATCTATGTTTATTTAGCTACTGGTTACTCATATATTCTTTCACTATTTCATTGTGCTTGTTTGAAATTTGGTTACTCATATATTCTTGCACTATTTTATTGTGGTTGTTTGAAATTTCTTTTCAACAACTCTTTTTGCGTTTGACTGTTGATCTTGCGTCTAATTATTGCTTCTAAATTTGGTCGATTTAGCATTCCAAAATATACTAGTTGTTGATTCGATTGATCCTCTTTTGTTGATCTATGCAATTTCAAGCAACGTTAAACTATAGGATTTTTGAATAAGCAACTTTTCGCGTCAATCCTTTTTCTTATTGAATCGTAGTAATTCTTTTTACTCTGAATTATGGATTTCGATCTTCATGGTCCGTTTTATTAATGAGCCAAAACCATGTTTTTAAAATTTTGGAACCATGAATTAATTTGATATTTTATGGTTTGTTCATCTCGATGAGTTGAAATTATATTGAACCATAATCTATAGGAACTTATGGCTCATGTTAATAATCGAACCATAAGCTATAAGGATTGTGTCTTAAATCGAACCATAAGTTATAAGGATTTATGGTTCGTACTAAATATAAATAAGGTTGAACTATAATTTGGCATATCATGGTGACTTGTAATAATCTCGAACCACAAGCTATAAGGACTTATGGTTCATGCTAAATATCAATAAGGTCCAACCATGATTTCGTTGATCATGGTGACTTGTAAAAATCTCAAACCATAAGCTCTAAGGACTTATGGTTCGTGTTGAATACATATAAGGTCGAACCATGATTTGGCGGATCATGGTGACTTGCAAGAATATCGAACCATAAGCTACAAGGACTTATGGTTTGTGTTAAATATAAATAAGGCTGAACCAAAATTTGGCGGATCATGGTGACTTATAATAATCTTGAACCATAAGTTATAAGGACTTATAGTTCATGCTAAATATAAATAAGGTCGAAGCATGATTTAACGGATCATGGTAACTTGTAATAATCTCGAACCATAAGCTATAAGGACTTATGGTTCGTGTTGAATATAAATAACATTGAAATTTGTTGATCAAAAGTCAAAAGATTGCATTCAAGATCATAATCACATGGTATATAAAAGGTAATTATCGTCTAATGCTATTAGTACATTTTTTATCGATTACCGATAGGTTATTAATTATTGTTTCCCTAGAAATGGAATTTTTGGAGATTTTTCATATTCCACGTTTGCGGGAGTCAACTTCCATTCATATTTTCTAGGACGTATGAACTGTATCCCCTTGCTTCTACCACTCGATATGGTCGTTCCCAATTTCGGCTTAACTTCCCATTGTGTTCTTGTCGGCTTGCTTCATTTCTTCAAAGGACCAAGTCTCCTACTTTACATGATGTGTTCCTGACCCTGGCGTTGTAATATATTTCCGTCATTGCTTTGTAAGTTTTGTTGACGTATAGGCGCATCATTTTGTCTTTCTTCCACAAGTTCAAGGTTTGCTTGTAAGTCTGTGTTGTTTCTTCTTCCCTAGGGATTACTGGTTCGGGTATTTTGTATCGTTACGTCTATGGGTATGACTAATTTTTCCCCATATAACAAGGTAAATGGAGTTTCTTTTATTGGAGTACATATTGTTGTTCAGTATGCGTACAACACACTTTGTAGTCATCGACCCAGTTTCGTTTAGCTTGCCCCAACCTCTTCTTGATCCCTTTTACCAAGGTTAAGTTGGTAACCACTATTTTCTTGTTCGCTTGAGGATGCACCACTAAATTAAAATTCAGCTTGATTGCCTTTTCCTGACACCATTTATTGAAAGGATTCTCTACGAATTACTTCCCGTTATCACTAATGATGGCGCATGGAAGGCCAAAATGACAGACTACATATTTCCAAATGAACTTTGCCACATTTTTTCCTGATATTATTGCTAGTGCTTTAGCATCGACCCACTTAGTGAAATAATCTACAACCACTATCAAGAATTTCAACCTTCCGAGTACTTTAGAGAATGGTCCTACAATATCGATTCACCATTGGAAGAAAGGTCATGGACTAGTGATACTTGTCAATTCTGTAGGTGAAAGAACATGAACATTTGAGTGTATCTAGTAGTCATGACATTTTTGGATGAATTCGTTCGTAGCATTAGTCATTGATTTCCAAAAATACCTTGTTCAGATTATTTTTTGGGTAATTTCCATCGATCCTACGCGCGCACCCCAAATGCCTGAATGTATTTCACTTACGACAAGATTTGCCTCTCTTTTTGTGATGCATTTTAACCAGTGTGTGGAATATCCCTTCTGGTATAGTCGATCTTCGTACATGGTATAACGTGTTGAATTGATTCGAACCTTATGAGCTTCTTTTTCGTCTACATGTAATGTCCCGTTTTTTTAAGAAAAAGGATATATGGCGTCATCCACGATTCCTCTTCTTCAATCACTTCCGAAATCTCTATGATGGGCTCTTCAGCTCTTTTCTTTGGTAGTACTTCTAATAACACTTTTTTAGAGGTGGCTAAATACCATCGATGCTAGCTTCCTTAATGCATTTTCCTATTTATTCTTCGATCGAGGCACCTGGGTGATCTCAAACGTTTGAAACCTTTTTATCCATTCTTTCGCTTAGCTCAGGTACTTCTGGATATGTGCCTCTTTACTTCATAATCTCCTTTGATTTTGATCACAACTAGCATAAAGTCGCAAAATACTTTTATCCTTAAGACATTCATGCTCGGTGCCAACTGTAGACCTATAAGAAAAGCTTCGTATTCCGCTTTGATGTTAGAAGAAAGACAAGTTAAAACTCAATGCATAGGTTGATTTATCCCATTAAGGGCTGGAAAGGATGATTCCTGCTCCTGAACTGTCATTATTGGATCCTCCATCGGTATATAATACCTGGTTATCTGTTTTTCCATGCTCCATGATGGTCTAGTTTGGCATCGACAATTGAGTGGTAAATTCCTCTCTACATTCCGATAGTCGAACCTGGTCATCGGGCATTTTTTTCAGGAAGTCTGCTAAAGCTTGGCCTTTAATACTGACCCTTGGCTTCTAATTGATATCATGTTCTCTCAATTCGATTGCTCACTTGGTAATTCGTCCTGATCATTTTGATTATATCAAAATTTGCTTTACTGGTTGGTTTGTCAGTATCAGAATTGGAAGGGCCTGGAAATACTTATGCACAATCATGTTGTTGCTTACACCAAAGTCAATACTAGCTTCTGGATGAGTGAGTAATTTCTCTCATCTCCTTGCAATACCATGCTAACAAAGTAAACCGACATTTGCTTATTGTCTCTTTCAGCTACGATCATTGCATTGATCATTTCTTGATTTTCTGATAGGTACATCGTTATTGGCTCACTTGCAACTGGACTTGTTAGAGTCGATAAACACCGAAGTGCTGTTTTAACCTATGGAAGGAATCATCGGCTTAATTCGCCATATGATGTTGTTTTTCCCTGTATATATCTTTAATGCCTGAAAGAAAGGCAATGTTTGTTCTTTTGATTTTGCTAAAAATCTTCCTAGTACTATTGGCCTTCCATTTAGGCTTTGGATGTCTTTTACCGTTTTAAGTGTTTCTGTGACAACTAGAAAATTTTGAGGCAAATGAAGTCTAAAAGATTTTGTGTATAAGTGTATCCACAATGTAGCCTTGTTATAATAGAACTTTGAAAGCCAAAAGAGCATTGTTTGTATAAGTATATATGTATACGTATATATACATATTTTGAAAATCATATTTGTAGTAAACACTTAAAAGTCAAGCAAAGCCGAATCGTTGGAACATAAAATCGTGAATTTAAAACATTACTTTATAGTTATTGGACTAGTACCCCACCCACCTTAAGATTTCGGTTGTAAGGAGGCCGAAATCTCCCACCTATAACACCCTAGGCCGAAAACACCAACCTCGAACACCACTAAGGCCGAAAACCCCTAGGATCTAACCCACTAAGACAGAAAACACCTTTGTGGGGGAGTTAGGACCGAAATCACAAAAGGTGCAAGGTGATTTAGGTCATACCTTGGCCGAAATCACCATTTTGGTCCCTCTTAAAGTGATTTCGGTGGTAATAAAGAGAAAAGGGGAGTTTGACTTTATGACTTGATGTGTTTCACCCATTTCCCATGCAAAATTTGACAGTTTCCCAAGCAAACCTCCAATAAGTAAATATATTATCCAACATGTAACTAAGAAAAAGTCATATCACTTATCCTCCTTATAATGAACGAAATCGCCACCCCAAAAATCCCCATCCATTCCATTTCTCTTTGTTGTAACTCCAAGCTCTCTAAAAAAGAAAGCCAAAATATTCCAAGTTCAAAATTCTTCAAGTGTGTTCTTATATTTTGGTAAGTATTCCTTCAAAATCTAGTGTGTTTATACATTTTTATGTAAGTTTCATCCTATTTGCACATATTATTATGTGTTAAAACCCTTAGGATAATAACATTTCCAAGGAAGTTCATCAACCCATTCAAGAGTTTAGGCTTGGAAATATTTACAACATCTCCTCAAACAACCCACAAATCCACTGAAGGTGA